CCCCAAAACCCCAAAACCCCGTTGACTAAAAATTTCTTAAAATAATTTGATTATAAAAAAGTAAATATATAAATAATATTTAGAGATCATTTGCAAGTGCCTGAGAAATAATGTTAATCAAGTAGCTAAACAGCAGATAAAATTAGTAGCTTTCTTTTCCAATCTATATTCTCTGGAAAGTCAATTACATACCATGGAGCAGTGGACATGCATTATTTGAAACAATTAGACCACCTTTTATATATATGGCCAATTGGATCTTCGATAGTTGACTTAAAATCAGCTATAATCCAAACTGAATCTCGACATGGTCCACAAGGTGTGGGAAAAAAGAATAGTTAACACTACCATGATGTTCCAAAGATTTGATAGATTGGTAAATTATTTTCATCATAGATAATAATGCTTGTTCCACAAAAGCTAAACGGTAGATATGCTCTTCCAATTAATTCTCTCTTCCCTTCTTTTTCCTCCTAATAAGACTTTAGATGATCTTGAAATTAATCAAGCTCCACCATTTCACTTTAATCTTCGTTTTTCAAAAGCTATTTTTACTTTTAGGCATTCAGATAATAAACTGATATCTCTGGTCTGCTTATACAGAGCATTGTGCATTTAGCTGGTCTAGACATTGAGAAAATAACTCTTCTATTATTCTCTGCTTAGAACTAGCATTCATAGCCTCGACAAGATGAAGGCACAAAACATCTCATTGGCATGCTTGATTTTTCTTTTACTTTTAATATCCTTTTCCCCGATTTGCCATTAGAGATGTCAAGTTATGTATCATTCGGTATCCACTTGTAAAGCTTATATACATTTTCTTGAGTGTAGCAACAACATTTGAAAAGTTAGTTAAGATAAGGAGCTTTCATTTTCATGACGACAGTTTTATATGATGTCTTATTAAGTAACTGGATAGGATCGTCTTTTTATGAATATATCATTTTTGTTTTCAATTACTTTTATTATTTAAATAATTTAGATAATTTAATAAAATGTCAAAGTAAGGGGGACATAATAATTCTGATAATTAACGAAAAAGAGATTAGAAATTCGATATTAAAGAGCTAGAAAAGGAGTAAAAGAGACAACTCGAATCAGAGTAGTAGCGATATGACCACAAGCTAATTGATGAAAAATCTTAGGATTTCTTAAAGGCAGCCAAATAAAAGCGTAAATCCCATAGAACGAATACATAACATAAGGATCTGGATGAGGAGTCTGATGTTGATGAAGAATTTAAAATCGGATTTGAAGACGCTGCTTCTAAGTTTGCTGTAAAGAGAAAGAAAAAATATATGTTCACAGATACGGGAATGCCAATAGAACCATTTAACTTAGATAATGATATCCGTGAGGGTGTGATAACAAGAGATGGAGTAATGAGAATGGAGAGAGACAAGAATAAGGATGATCAAGATTCTGATGATCCTTGGCTTGAAAGCATCAAAGAGGATCAAGACAAAATGTTGTACTAATAATGCTAAAATCAAAAAGATTCAGATGACAGTGAGAGTGAATAAGAAGAAGGCCATGGTGGTGGTGATGATGAAGACTTATCTGATGAATAGGAATTAATAAGCGAAGACCAAAAGAAGAGAAATAAACTAGAAATTGAGGATCTGAAGAAATTACTTCTAAAGTATCTAGATAAAGAAACTAATGAAAATGCTAATATGGCAATGAAAAGACTCAAAGCTGAAAATTAAAAATAGTCTTAACCATTAGCAAATAAAAAGAAAAATGTACGAAAACTTGCACTTCAGTAACAATAATTAAAATAGTAGTAAAATCAATAAAATCCTAATTAAGGCTCTTAATCCCCTAGTGCTAGCTAAAATAACGATCCAATAACTAATCCTCAGGATTTAAACTAAGATGAATTGCTGAGTTTTGACAAATTATTAGCTCTTTGTACTAAGTTATAAGATCTGGGTTATGTTGATGTATTTTCTATCAGGCAATAAAAACTGTCTGAAGAGATTGAAAAACTTGAGCAATACTATTAAAAGGAGAAGGATAATTTTGAGCGAGTCCAAAACGGATGGTTCTATAAAATAATGTACTAAGAAACTGGTCAGGAGAGTGAGATATTTGGTCCATTTACAAGGGATGAAATGTAATCCTGGAGAGAGTTGAATTACTTTGATGAAACTGAACAGTAGATTTGCGCTTTCATTAAATCTCTAGATAAGTAAAAGAATAATGATAATTGGCTATTTATTTCAGATATACCTAGATTTAATTGAGATTAATAGTAGAATTGAATTAAAGAAATTATTCAATTTTTTCAAGAGGAAACAATCTCAGTGTGACTAATAAAGCATAATTAATTTTTAAATCATAATATATTGACTCTGCTAATAGTTAACAATATTTATATTAAATATTGCCTTAGGGGTTTTGGGGTTTTGGGGTTTTG